CCTGTAATAGGTGAGTCCCTGCTTGACTAGACTCCCCGTTGCGTCTGAGTGTCCCTGGTACTGGGTGCGGCATGGGCTGGCAAATGGCGAGCTTACTCATCCCCAATAATCACTGCCTGGGGGTCACTGGTTTGAACCCCCCACATATGTGTATGAGTGTACTGCCTGAATGTATGTGAGTGCACCTGTGTCGTGCAATGCTGCGGAGGTCAGAAGAGGGCTTCGGATTCCCCTGGAACTGGAGTTAAGGACAGTTTTTAACCGTCATCTGGATGCTGGGAATTGAACTCGGGTCCTCTGCAAGAGCAGTCAGTGCTCTTAACCACTGAGCTATCTCTCCAGCCCCCAATAAAATATTTTAATGCCTAAAATTTCTTGTATACATAAATTAGAAAACATTCACACACACACACACACACACACACACACACACACACACACACTCACACATATTCTCCTGCAGGTCAACAGCACTGGAAAACAAGCTAAGCTAGGTCAAAGATTTCTTCTTTTATGCTTGATTTGTCCATTGTGTAAAAGACATCAAGGGTTAACAATGCCAAAGAAATCTATATTTCACTCTTAACCATATTGAACATCTGAATATGCATTTCATCACATCCACTCACCAGATAAGCAGTCTAGTCAGCATATTGAAAATAAAACCACCAGTCTCTCTTCATATATTTATTCTCTTTCCAAAAATGTTTTGTTCTCCTGCCATAGCTCAGAAACGTACTCACAGCTGCTTTTCGGGTACAAAACACAAAATAACAATTTGTATCTTGGAGAAAATCTTGGGGATTACCATTCTAAAACTGAAATTTCAAGTTCCCATAGACTTTTTCTTTGGTTACCAGTATTTGAACTTTCTCATGGCATACAAGTAAGGCTGCCTGTGACATGTTGTACTCTTACTCCTAATGGTGTAACTACATTCATATAAGAGAAACTCCAAAGACAAGTTCTGAAAGTAGACTGCAAAGTGCCCTTTAGCAAGTGAGACTTTCCAATCAGAGCCACAATTTTTATGAAAACCAGTTTCCTTTCACATAGTTTTTAAGAGAATGCCACACCCATGATCATGTAACATTACATTTGTGAAGTAACATTACTACATTCACACATTAACATTACCTAATAAAAGGCACATATACTGAACTAAAATTATAAAATTCAAAGCATTTGAGAGGATACGTTAAAAATCAAGCACTTTGGGCTGGAGAGCTAGTTCAATGGTTAAGAACACAGGTTGTTCTTGCAGAAGACCCAAATTCGAACCCAGGACCCACATGACAGCTAACAACTGTCCATAACTCCAGTTCCAGGAGATCCAATGGCCTCTTTTATCCTCTGTAGACATTGCACAACACAGGTACACTCACCTACATGCAGGCAATATACTCATACATGTAAAATAAAAATAATAAAATATTAATAAAATCAAGCACTTTAACTTGTAAACCTTGAAAAAAATAATAGCCTTACTCCTGTGTCTTCAATGGCTTGTGGATTTTTCCAAATGGTCAGGAAATTCAGAAGCAGATGGAAGACATGATTTGAAAAATGTTGAAGATAAGTTTAAAGGACTTATAATATTTCTTTCCTGCTCTTTTTAAAATGAGGCACACAAGTGGGCTTGCATAACGGCGATGCAAACCTGCATCTGTTACAGAAATGCACTCAGGCATGAGGCATTACAACCTAACCCTTCTATCAAGTTACTTGTGTCTAGCACAATGGCTCCTTTTTGTGCAAATAGCTGCCCCTATCAAAAAGTACAGTAAACTTCAAGTCACCAGAAATCTTTTGGCTACACCAAGCACTTGATTGCAATTACAGATTTTAGAGTGTGAATATTGAAAATTTAGCCAAGAAAAACCATGATGAGGAGGGAAGTACAGATGTGATGGCAAAAAAATATTCTAAGCCTATTCTATCATATGCACTATCACATCATCGGTAAGCTAATGATGAGCTGGGGGAGGGAAGGTCAATAGGCTTATCTACTACCAGTATATCCAGATCTACATGGAGAGTTAGGGTGTTATCTACCCTTTAAGATTATATCCCTGCACTTTCAAAGTTCAAAAGTCAATTCAAAATGAGTTAGTTTTAAAGGACTGGGTCAAATGGTCCCAGTAAGGAAGGCTGAAAATGAAAAGCTATCATATCCATTCTTAATGATCACATTATGGATAAAGATATATGAAAGTCTGGACCTGTCAAAGAGTAAGAATTCTTTGTTGGACTTCTCCTACTTCCCATTCCTCAGGGTCCAATGGCTTAAGAGAGCCAGAATGTTTATTGTAGAATTGTCCTACAAGCTTCATTCTGACTGTCGCCAACCCTCTACATGCCTCTCACACCCCATATCATTTTCTGTTGTTGACTGTCCTTGAGATGGGGCCTCCTTCTAGTCAGATCCTAGATCAGGCTGATTGTACTCTAGGCTTAAATGACAAAGTCTCTAAGTCTGAATTTGAGATGGATTCAAAGAAAGCTCCACAGCTCAGTAAAACACCAGCAACAGGAAAACTTTTCACACTGCAGTTTGATATAAAAGTACAATATGAGTAAAGAGAGATGGTAGTACTCTTGATACACACAAATTTAGTTTTTATTTTGTCATTAATATTTTCTAAGGTATTTAAGCTAAAAATGCAATGTTATTAACATCAAGGAGTACAGGAGTACTTTAGGATGCCAAAATATTCTTTATAATGGGGAGAACAGGGTGGAAGGGGAGCTTCACATGTCACTGCCTGATTTGTTACACTATTACTTTCAAAGCTAATGATTTCTCTTAATATGAAAATTAAATTTAAAAGTGTAAAAAAATGAACACAGTAGCAAGAAACCTTGTCTATTTTACACTGAAGTCAACATGACAGTAAACTTGAAGAGAAAATTGGAAAAGAATGTTCTTGTACTGGCATAATTTGCAATTTATCTTGGAAAATTTCTGTTACCTAGCCACATAAATTATTAAGAATGCTTTGCATCCTATCCACAATTAGTGCTGAATAAAAAATAATTCATTCTATTTTGTACTTCAAAATCACAAAGATGACATCAATGTGGTAAGTGTAAAGCCTCTGGTCTTCAAACATAGATTAGGACAGATCACTTCATTGCTGGCAGCACTGATGCAGGGCCAGGTCATCCCTCATAAGGGCAAGTAGGATTGGGAGCCGGGCAGTGCCCTTCTCACACACCAATCTTTTTCTCCTTTTAAAGTAGCAGAGGAAAATAAATAATTGACTGACTGGTGAGTGGCCCTGCGTTAAAATGCATAGTTCAACAGGATCAAGGGGCCATCTGTGAACATTGTTTTCATCAGCACACAGCAGACACTGTACCATCTTCATTACAGATTTCACCCTGTACTATCTGAAAACATGTTACACACAACTGACAGCCTGCAAATGACAGTATGCATCCCTTTTCCAAGTGTAAATCTAAAATGATAAAGGAGCTTAATCAGTCTGAAGGTAGGACACCTCGAAGCCGAGTTCCCAGAATTCACAAGAATACAGCAGCAACTAATGTCTCTTCAGCTTCTTGGCTTTTTGACGTTTAATTTCTTCCTCCTCACTCCTCATTTCCTCCAAGTCCTCTTTCATACCTAGTCTCAAACTCTTTGCCTCTTCCTTCTGCTGTTCCTTCCAACTAGTCTCCATGTAACGTAAGGCATAATCACTTTCATCTTTATATTTTTTTCGGTCATAGCCAAAGATTTCCCGAATGTGCTTGGATACTTCTTCCTGAGGTTCCCCTTCATAGTCAATAAAATCATCCATTTCAGAGTCATACTCATCATCCTCTTCTTCTTCCAACTCTCGTGGCCTTCTGCAACCAGTATGGAAGGGAAGCCTTTGAGGACCTTGGGTATATCTGCAGCCAGACAGGGGAGGCTTCATTCCATTCATCTGTCCATGTCCATTGCTTGGTTGGCTAACAATATTCTTGGAGGAAATTGTTTCTGAGACAACAGTGCACTTGGGCTTTATGGGGGTGCCGGGGATACTAACCATCTGCCCAGGGCCTAAGCTATTCATTGGTCTGCCAGGGCCTGAACTGACAGTTCGTCCAGCTGGAATTGAACCACTTATGGATCTCCCAGAGCCACCGATTGGACTTGCAGGAAGACCTGAGAGACTCATTGGTCGCTGAAGGTCACGTGAATTGCTTATAGGTTTCCCAGGGCCTCTACAGCTGCCTATATGTCTCCCAGAACCACTTGGGCCACTGGTGTGTTGCCCAGGGCCACTTGAATTACTTTCAGGCTGTCCAGGGCCATTTGTGCCCCTGCCTGTCCGTCCAGAGGGACGTGAGATACTGGCTTGCTTTCTGACCCCACTGACAGATCGCACAGATTCTGAACTTGAGGTGCCATTCTGGCATCTGGAAACAGGGCCAGAACAAAGTGTGGTCTGAGCCAGCCCTGGAACTGAGCTGGAGTTGCTGCCTAGTTGCTTGACACTGGACTCAGAATGGCTAGGATGAGAGGGAAGAGACTTTTTGGCTTTGTGTTCAGAAGTAGATTTCTGAGTCCCAGTTGCAAAAGTCTTTGGGACACTTGGCGAATTAGTGTTGGGGTGAGACTTTCCAACCACATTGAGAACAGGTCTGTGGTGACCCTCCAGAAATGAGGGTTGGGAGCTATTGACAGATCCTACGTTGGTCCTCTCTCCCGGCACAGATCTGAATGAAGACAAAGCTAAGTGTTTCTCACTGGCTGTGCTGGGTCTGAATTTCTTCTCACCCTCAGGAAAGGGCATTCTCTTGGAAGAAAGATGCTTGTCCCCAGAACTTCTACTAGGTTTTGTGCCCATGCCTTCTTTATGAGATGGTGCCCTTTGGGACACAAATGGAGGTAGTTTTACATCTGTTTCAGGTTTCTTTTTCCTGTTTTCGTTCAAGAAATTCTCGTTCCCGAAGTTCCTCTGCAGTCATAGGTCGCTCTTCTTTTTTTTTCAGGATTTTCATCTCCACTGGTTCAAACTGCTTCTTCTCAGCTAGCCTCAGTAAATCAGTGAAGTTCATGGGGAGTGGGGCACTTCTGAGGGGGACATTTGGATTGCTTTCAACTTGGAGAGGTTCTTGCTCTTCCTTGTCCTCCTGCTCTGATTCTGCTTGGTTGGACTCAAAGAACTCCTCTTCCACCTGGTACTCTTAGTCTGTTCCCTGGCTGGTATGGCTTTTCATGGCCTGCCTCTTATTTGACTGCTTCTGAACAGGAACCCCGTTATAACCACAGAAATTGTCTTTTGTCCTCTTGGCCATGGCTCTTGCTTTCTTGTCATGTTTGAGCTCAATTCGCTTTTTCACTAGCTCCTCTTTCCTCCTCTTCTCTTCTAAGGCTTTTTGTCTCAGCTCCTCTTCCTTCCTTCGAAGAAAAGCTTGTACAGCTGCTGACTGGACACCTTTAACATTTGGGTCTTTCTTGGGAGGCCCCACTGCCAAACTATAACTTTTTGGCAGGTTGTTGACACCTTGTCCCTTGGAAGCAATCAGCAGGATTTCCCTGAAGTCCATGGTGGCTGGGCCAGGGGCTGGGGATGCAGCTGAAGCGAGTATGGCCATGTGCCCTGCTCCTGAGTGGCCTACCCAAGCAGCTGTGCTCCTGCTGTCCCTTGGCTAGACCTCCAAGCAGCACTTCTGGCACCTCCTGATGCAGTGGTGTTTCTTTCTTTTAAAGGGTTAATACTGTATGGCTCATCAAAAACTCAGAATAGCTAGAAAAATCACAGAAAACAAGTTATAGGAAATTAAGGAAATAATGTCTATATCAAAAGATAATAAATCCTACAAACATTGCATAAAATTTGATATCTAATGTAGTTTTCTAAGTTCACAGATGTTACAAAATGAATTTTTAAAAGCAAAGTGCTTTGCCACCTGTATTAGTCAAAGCTCTCTAAAAGAAACAGAACTGTAGAAATATCTACATATATATGAATTTATCAAATTACCTTACAGGCTAGAGTCCAGTAGTCCAACAGGGCTGCACCACACTGCAGAGGCTGAGAATCTGGAAGTTGCTCAGTCCACAAGGCCAGATGTCTAAATAGTCTTAATCTAGTGCTGAAGGCCTGACTAATTCCAAGAGATCTGCTAGTTTTCAGTCTATACTGGAACTGGAAGAAGTTAGTCACAGCAGCTTGAGAGGACTTCACTAGTGAGAGAGAAGGCAAGAGGTAAAAACAGTAAGAGCTCCCTCCTGCCATGGCCCTTATATGGGATGCTATAAGAAGTTAACGCCCATATTTAGGGTGGGTCTTCCAGCTCCAAATGATCCAATCAAGAAGGATTATTTCAGTAAATCCCAGATCAAATCAAGTTGGGTGGGTCATCCAGCTCCAAATCATCCAATCAAAAAGGATAATTTCAGTAAATCCCAGATCCAGTCAAATTGGGTGAGTCTTCCAGCTCCAAATGATCCAATCAAGAAGGATCATTTCAGTAAATCCCAGATCCAACCAAGTTGGGTGGGTCCTCTAGCTCCAAATGATCCAATAAGATGGATTATTTCAGTAAATCCCAGATCAAATCAAGTTGGGTGGGTCATCCAGCTCCAAATGACCCAATCAAAAAGGATCATTTCAGTAAATCCCAGATCCAGTCAAGTTGGGTGGGTCTTCCAGCTCCAAATGATGCAATAAGAAGGATTATTTCAGTAAATCCTAGGCCCAATCAACTTGGGTGGGTCTTCCAGCTCCTAATGATTCAATCAAGAATGTTCATTTCAGTAAATCCCAGATCCAATCAAGTTGATACCCAGGATTAGCTATCATATCATCTGACTAGATATTTTTGTCTTGATGTTTTAGGTAAGAATCTTTATTACTACTAAATTTAGAGAGAAGACAGAGAATGCAGAGGACAGGAATAACAGAAAGAGACAGAGAATGAAGGCAGGAAAAATAGAAATAAGGCCATTTCTGTATTTTGTCTGTTACAGAGATGTTGTAAAGCTCTACTACTATCTGAATAAATTTACAGTCATTTCAATATGAATTTCAATTCATATTTCTTGATCTTGATGTATTTGAGATCATTGTTTATAATTATGTAATTAATGTTTAAATACAGTAAACAAGGGGATTACACCATTTTGTCTAAATGTCAGATAAAATTCTCAAATTCAGAGAAATCCAATAAAGTGCATAGGCATCTGTTGAAGAAATTACCTAAACTAGCCTCTGTAAACTTGATAGAGGGATTAAATGCCCATTTATTTCTTCATAGGACAGAAAATTCAACAATTCCCTTGAATATATGAGATTTTTAGGAGAATTTGATTTTTAGTTTCAAGTATTACAGGAAAATCACTGTTTTGGGAACATACATATTAAATGATTCTATTCCCTTAGAAGTTGTATGTTGAAATCTAAGTAACAGCGTGTTATTTTTACTGAAGAACTTTGGAGTTTATTTAGGTCACAAGTTAGGAGCCATTAAGAATATACCTGGAGTCAGGGGGCTGGAAAGATGGCTCAGCTGTTAAGAATAATTTCTGTTCTTGAAGAATACCTGGTTTTTATTCACAGCACCCACATGGCAGCTAACAACTCTGTAAGGAATCCAGTGCCCTATTTTGACATCCAAAGACATTGCATGACATGGGTGCACTTACATATGTACATGCAATACACTCACACACATAAAATAAAAATAATAAAATATTTTTTAAAAGAATATAACTAGAATCTCTACAACAACAATCATAGTACTAGCTCCCTCCACCTATTCCCCAGTATGCCACTACCCACACATCTTCCTGTTTTGCCAAATCTCTTTACCTTTACCTCTTTATAGCTACCTCTACCTCTTCCTCCTATGCTAACTGCCTGCCTGTCTCTCTTCCTCCAATACTTTTTTCCTCCCAACTTTCCTTCTGTGCTGACTTCACATACCTCTTCCTCCCATGGAAGTATACAATGTGACGTTTGTACTCTGTATAACTAAAGAAGGCTCTGCCAAAATCTGGCCATGTTGGCCCCGTGCATTCTCTCTTCTTGCCATAAAAACTGCAAAAATGCATTTCAATTATTTATAAGCAACCCAGTCTATAGTTATTTGCAAAAATTTTACCATCTGGCATTTCAATAAAATCAGAAAATTCATTTGTGTTACTCTAAATATACCTTTCAAATACTTAGTTCAATTATGTTACCAACATGTTCTTCTGCTCTGACGAAATCAGCATTTTTCCATCTATAATCCTTACAATGAACTGAGGCCTGCTTAATGTACTACCTTTTATATGATTTATGGTTTTAGATATTACCTAACATCATATTATTGGTCAATAGTAAATAAGGAATAAGTTAAAGACAATGAAAACGTGTGACAGTGGTCTAGTAATAAAAATGCTTTGTCAATATTCTTTTGCTTTCTCTGAAGTTTTTGCCTGAATTGACTATTACTGAGTTGTTCAATTTCTACAATATAACATCAAAAACATCAGTTGGTTCATTGCATTCTCATTTCAATACATGATATTTAGTATGATTTTGTTTATGTCTTTTTTAAATGCTTAATTGTAAAGGAAAATAAAATACTATTTATAATGAATTCAAATAAGTCAAACACTTTAATCTAAAATGATAGGACAAACAGTTAAGCAATCATGGCTTCACTGAAGAAGTAAAATATCAATGGAACTGATACTTAAGGCATTTTCTTTCCAAACTACACCTATCCTTTCTCTTCCAGAACAAATAATCATTTTACTTTCTCTATACTCTGTGAAATGCTCTGTTGTTTTATGTTGTAGCATGGCTTATTCCTTTGTTTGCCCATTTGAGGTGCTTATGACTAAAAGTACATTTTGGATTATTTTATGGCTTGGTTTCTTCACAAACATTACCATTTATGTATCATAAAATATCTATCTGTACTTTATTCTTTTTTCACAATTGGACAGATAGATTCATTATAAAATTTTGTGACACTTTGATTGCCATTTTCCATTAATAAATATTTTGAGAGGTTGTTTTTGCATTTGTTAATTTGGTTTGTTTTATTTCCCTGTGCTGGGATTACAGGCACAGGTACTATACCCAGAATTTTACATGGATGCTTAGGAAGGACATTTTATGTGGATGCTGGGGTTCCAATCTCAGGTTCTCATGCATGTACAGCAAGCACACTGCTAATTCAGCCATCTCTCTAGCTTCTTTACTTTTCTACAAAGTACCATACATGAACTTTGTTAAATTGTTCTCCAAATCTCTCTAAGCACCATTTATAGCATAGTCTGACCTTTCTGCAATGCATATTCTCAGCACATTCATTGAAAATTGACTGTAGATGTTTAGGCTCAGTTATAAACTGTATTCCATTGGCCTATGAATCTGTTTTTTTTTTTTTCATTTTCTGATAATGGCATACTGTTTCAACTACTACAGCTTTGCTAATATGCTTTGAAATCAAGAGTGTGCCTTTAACTTTGTTTTCTTAGATCAGGATGGTTTTAGCTACTCAAGTGGCTTTTGTATTTACAACAATATCTATTAAATGCTTGTAAATGTGTTTTATTTCTCTTATATTGTTATATGTCAGAAATGTTTGTAGCCTTATTAATATCAATGTTTTCAATATATATAATCTACATGTGTATTTGTAATTTAGAAGCTAATTTTTTCCGAGTCAGGTGTTTGAGTATCTTCCTCGAGTTTATCAGCTTTATGTCCAGTATCCGCAGGCTAACTCAGAACGAATGGACTGCAACCACCAATACATTAACCTTTATTTCTGTTTACTTCTTTCTTTGTTTATTATTTTGTATCCTAATTAAGGAGTGTTTTATGTGAGGAAAAAAAATAAACATATAAACAAACTTGAATTAATGCTATCTGTATAAAACAAAATAATACTCATTACAGATACTGAAGGAGTTATAGCAATATATATGCCAATATATATTAATGTGCTGTCTGTCTTCAAATAGTTGTAGTATATTGAAAAATAATATATAATCTTCCATAGAAAATACAGCTGAAAAAATTATTTCAACTCTAAAAAATGAAAATACTAATTGT